TAAAAATTTTATGAATATCTGGAAAATGTGAGCGTATTTTAAGAGTGTTATATGATGAAAATTTAAAGCACTTCAAAAATTGTGAAAATTTAGCTAAGTAGATTGGAGAACATCAACGAAGCTCCATCAATTGAAAAATGCGAGTACTTTTGGCAAGCACCAACATCTTCAAGAAATTCCAGAAAACTTCTTAGAAACTTGATATTTTTAGATAAAGTCTGTTCCAGTTAGTATTTGACCGCTTCTTTTTAATTACTGTAGCGTCTCTAGTTGTCTCATCAATAAACTGTTGACAACGTTTTGATCTGGAAAGTTTGTTTGGTGACAATTTCATCAGGATCCATAGACACGTATGAAAGTTATCGAAGATGGAACGCGTGACACGTGAACAAATTTTGCATGCTTACGTTGAAAGCCCAACGTGGTCAGGAGGAATGATCGGAAAAGTTCTCAAATTTCCAAAATCGATTGTAAAGGCCCAAGCGCAATGACAGCGGAAGTGGAACGGCAGCGGAAAAGCCTGATCTGAGTAAGACTACTTGTCGGATTGAAAACTAGTTAGTACCAAATCGACTTCGATTAGGCATCTCGAATTCATTTTTGACAACTGTCAAACTTGCCGTTTCCGTTCCGGTTCCGTCCACATTGCGTTTGGGCCTTAAATAACGTGCCTAAACGTTACCGAGAAACACTAACGTTGGATCGCGCAAATAAAACAATCGTGAAAGTGGAACATATGACCGGAAATTACGAGCGAAGATCATTAGGACAGTCCAAAAGAACCCTGGGATCTCCGGACGTGATTTGGCGAAAAGGCGCACAGAACAGTTCAGCGAATTTGTATGCCTGAAGGTTTTCGGTCGTACCATGCCAGCAAACATCCCAACAGGACACTGACACAAAACCTGAAGCAAGTTCTGATCAAGTATAACAAATGTTTTTTAATGGACGATGAAACGTAAAAATGGATTTTGGACATATTTCGGGTCAAAAATTTTACCTTGCCAAACGTAAAAGGGATGCTCCGGGTAAGTTCAAATTTGTCTTTGCAGATAAATTCGCTCGCATGTATTAACAGACAATCTGCAGTTGTGGAAAAAATGGTTTTCATCACTGGAGCGACTATGAAGGGACAACTTAACAAGGAAGAATGCCTTCAGGAGAGAATTTTGGCATCCATTCAGTCACACGAAAGTCCCGTAAAGTTCAAGGATGTCATTGAATGGTATGATAAGGATAATGTCGATTATATTAAAAAAAAGTATCAATCCTCCAAATTGTCCAGATTTTCGTCCCATCGAAAAATTGTAGGCAATTATCGAGCGTAAATTGAAGAAATGGAAGAAGGCAAAACAATCAAAACACCATCTGATTTGGAGAAATGGTGCAGAAAAGGTTGACTGCAAATAATTGTTCTTGGATTTTTTTTTTCCTTATAAAAACCTACGAAATGATACCCTTAGTGATGTTCTGTGTTATTACCTCTTGAAGAAATGACCAATTTTGTGCGACCAAATTCTATATGGAACAGACTTTAGAATCATGCTATTCAGCAAACTTCCGAGTTCTTCAAGGACGATCAGAACATTCCCATTAACTGAAGGAAGATTTCAGCGATATATAGGGATAATCCGAAAATTCTATGATTGATCCGAAAACTTTAGAAGCATCAGGGAATTATGAATATATATAAGAAAATTTGCTGGAACATAAGACAAATTTTGAGAACCTCAGGTAAGCATAGAAAACATCAGGGATGTCCAGAAAAGTTCAGGGAAAATTAGAATTTTTTCACTTGATTTGTTTTCCATCGATCTTGTTTTCCGTGCTGAGCACCAATGCTACCGACGCCAGAGAGGCAGCTCCCACACCTGGACCCTACCTATGGACCCATCAACTCATGAACCGGGGACCAACGGCTTTACTTTCCTTCCGAAGGAATGCGTGATCAGAACATCCCCGCGGCGCCGACTGGGATTGAACCTAAGCATGCTGGGGTGAGAGGTAATCCCGCTTACCACTACATCACCGGCGCCACTGGGAAAATTAGCAAAGCTTCGTAAGCGTTTAGAAGGTTTATAAAACTTAAGGAAAATTGTGGAAACTTCAAGACAATTTAATTAATTTCAGTATAATTGCGGATTCTTATGAAAAATACATTTCACTATTTTTGTTTGTATTACTTCTATTTGAAGTAAACGATATACATAGTTGAAGATGTTAAGTTTCAAATAACAAACAAGTTGATATTTCTCACCTCCAGCTAGGGAGTTTGGTAAAGGGGGATGATCAACCCGATTCGTACCTTCCTCAAAGTTATCCTTGCTCACTTTCTAACTATCGGAACTATCAACTCTATACTTTCATCTCCTCATGTATCGTATAAAATGACCACTTTATGTTATTTGAAACTTAGCATTTTCAACTAAAAAAATACAGTGAAATCAGGGCAGTCTAGAGAAGTTGAAGAAAATTCCGAAATATTTTGGGAAGCTAAACTATTGAATAAGTTATAAATAAGTTCCACGAACTGCAGAAAAACCTTGAGAATTTCAGTGAAATTCATAGAACCATAATTATTATTTCGTTTTGATTCCAAGAAAATTGCTGGAAAAACTTCTAAAACTTCACAGAAGTGCAGAGATCTTCAGAAACATTCCAATAACTTCATAGAAGCCTATGGAACTTAAAGAAAGATCCGAGAACTTCAGGAATTTTTATGATCATCATCAAAATGCGGGAGCATTTCTAAAAAGTTTAGTAAGCTCCAAAAATAAGGGGAATTTCGGGGTTCAGTTCCATTAGCTTCAGAAAAAAATATCTTCAATATTTCTTAAGATATTCAAGGTTTTGATCCAAAATACGCCTTTTTAATGCCCCACCGACGTAGAGTGCGCCACGCGAGTTTGAGAAGGAACGTAAACCAAACCGTTTGTTTACATCAGAATAACTATTTTTCACAACGCAAATTAAAGCATTTTTCATTCAACATCTTGCCAATTTCCATCGGTAATCGTCTTATTGTACAATTTTCCACAGATCTTAACTGATTTGTACCTTAACTATTCACACATAAGAAATCCGGAAGATCATAACCACTTAGGCACTTTTCTAATTTTCCATTTTTCTCAACAAAAATATTACTGAACACCAGCAGGATCTTTACAAAAACGTTACAGAATTAAATTTGTCAACTGTAGATTAAGTTTTGGAGCATCTCAGATGAATCAATTTATCAGGAAAAGTAAAAAAGTGTTCCGCTTCCTATGTCTCAAGGCGAAAATCTCTGCTTACAACACTCTTTTTGACGTTCTCCTATTCACCACCAGAGGTTGAATCGATCGTTTAGTTCCTATTAAAAAGGCCTATTAGCACTATTTCCAAGGTCAATAGCTCGAAGTTGGGTGAAATTGAGCAAACCAGGATGATTACATTTGAAAGTATACTTAAAATGCTGCCCAATGCATGCCAAATCATTAGCCTTCACAGCAAAAAAATAATTTTGATATCACATCAAAGTGGATGCACTACAATCATGTCGAAAATTTCATGTAATTTTTATGACCACATAAATAAACAAATGCAGTAAAAGCAGCGTAATGTCAGTTCATGCATTGTATTAATGATAATTTTGTCCTTTTTAGCAAGTAATATTACACCATATTTTCGACATGATTGTAGTGCATCCACTTTGACGTGATATCAAAATTATTTTTTTGCTGTGTTCTATAGTATTCTCTGCTGATCTGCTTATTACCAAACTATAGTAACCCGTGTACAGATAATCGCTTTCTTGAATTTGTACATAGAAGCTCCTTCATACCTCACTTACTCTTGGTGTTGAAGGAAGAAAATTCGAATTCGGTTAAATCGAAGTAGGCATGCAAAAAAGAGTAGGCGTTGCAAAGCCGCGTGTGGTAAAACTTTTGATTCAAAATTCAAAATTGTAGTGACTTACTCTTACTGGACAAGAAGGTGATTGGTAGTGTCTATTGTAGTGATTGGTAGACTGAATAAACAGTGGTTCTTGTTTCTCGTGGCAAGTGAGTCCCGGTGTCTATTGTATTGTTAAAAAAATGACTGAACTACGGTTGGTCTCTGTTCCCCCCGGCAGGTGATTCACAGTGTCGGTAGTAGTGACCGATTGATTGAACGAACAGTGGTCCTTGTTTTTCCCGGAATGTGATTCTCGGTGTTTGTTGTAGTAACCGGTTAAGTGAACGAACATTGGTCCTTGTTTCTCCCACTATTTGAGTCCCGGTGTCTGTAGCAATGTGTCATTGGCTTTCGAACGTGAGTGGTTGTATATAATTACGATAATGAGCTCTGGAATATCTTTTTTGGTTGGTTCAGGTAAGTGCAATATGTTTTGATCACTATTTGAAACGTGACGATGTACAAATAGGGTAGAGAACTACTTCGGCCTAATCGCCCATTTTGGGCCTATCGAGCAGACAACTTCAAATAAATCCATGATTTCAGAGTTAGCAAGTCAATTATGCGTTTGGTACGATACTTTAGTTAATAAGCTACCGAACGAAGTCAATGAGAACGCACAAACTTGTCGCAAGACACTATATGGTTTAAATGACCCGTTTTTGCATAAACTAAAAAACGCACTTTGGTACTTTTAGACCACTGTGCATCGGCACAAAAAAAATTATTTTTAGAATTTCACTTTGCTTGGGCCTCTGTCACTTGACCTCGAATTACCCATATATAAATGTAAAAATATTTTGAGCATCTGGACATAGTAAAATTTTCAGCAACACTGATTAAGGCCTAGAAATTTTTTATGTTCCAGTTGCTAAATTTCGGCGAAGTATTTTCTCCAAAGGTTTCTCGCAATTTGGAATGCCGTGTGCCAAATACTTTTTATCCATTTATATTATTTTTTTATGAATGAAAGCCCAATCTGTACCTCATTTTATAAAATGTGAATGGTCAATGAATGAAAACATAGAATGTGACATGCCATAACGATTTGCCTTGTAACTTACCGTCCATGCAGATGTATTTCACCCGCACCGTTCCCTCCTTCCACACCACGGAAAACGGGTGGTCCTGAGAGAACACAAAGCTGCAGTGGTTCTTGCCGGAACATCTGGAAAAAGAAATTAGATGAAATTAGAAGATATGCTATTAGTCCGTTCTCTGCCCGGGAAACAATTCTAGCGCTGTGACGCCCACAATCGACGCGGGATGGACGCCCGCCGTGTCATTTGCAACAAGCCTAGAATTATTCCGGGAATGACTTTGATGATAAAATGTTATTAGTTGGGAGGAGGTCTAAAATTTGATCCAATTTTCAAAGCATAGCGCCACGGTGATATAAAATATTGCTTCTCTGATTATATCTCTCTACCGGATCGGTCGGCATCGAACAGAAAATAGCCCCACAACACCCATGTGCCACAAAATTCATGCCCACGGCCTATCAACAGGACCTCAATTTAATCTGCTTTCGATTTTGTATCGAATCCCATTCTGTGTTCAATTTCGGTTGCCGACGCTAATGCTTTGATCATTCTATATCGGGGTCACGTATTTAGAATGGGATGCAACTGCTCTGCTGCACAAATGCAACGATGACAACGACGACTATGTGCATGCATGTTCCCGCAGGGTACGAAGTGGTGTTCTTCATCTTCCTCATCGGTCGGTCATCGGCGGCGCTCACTGTCACATTGATGCAACTACACGCGAGAGACCCATTTTCTAGCTAACACTTAATTAGCGACCATTTCAGTTCGTAAATTATACAATTACCAGCGAAGTAAGAAGGAAGGGACGATTGGGAGTGGGAGGGTAGAAATTTTATAAACCAATTATGTTTTTATTTTCATCGACCTTCGAAAGACGGTTCCCGGGGGCAAAGAGAGTGTGTGAGCAACAGAGCCAATCGGTTCGCTATCTATGTCTTGTCTGTCGCAGCTTCCATTCGGTCGAGGCAGCACGCATCGGTCTCAGGCACGTTCCAGTTGGTGTCTTCTTTTTGGACGATTTCGGGAAACAGTCAAACGTCGTATACATAACGAGGTAAACCAGTATCATACATGATGGAGTGAAGCAGCAGTTTTGACGGATGGTTTCTATTTTAGACTACAACATCATATTCCCATGACTGAAGCCAACAATTGTTAGTGATGACTAACAAAATTACTGGTACCAAAACGAGCGCACTTCCCCTATCAAAGATTTGTGATTCTTAGGAATAGTGCTCCAAAAATGGGAAAAGGGTTCAGCAGCTGTCCATCGCATTCGAATTGAATCACCCGAAGTGCTGTAAAACATTGGAAACTGGAAAGTTAATTGCTCATAAAAATGTGAGTTGCATATTTTTGGGGAACCCTTTGACCGTCAAAACGGACAGTTATTAATTATGATATGGGGAAACAAAATAGCCGTAAGATTAAAAACATGACGCGGTGACCTATCATGAGGCAAGTCTTTCTACGAATAAATACGGTTTCATTAAACTCAGCTTGTATAATTTATACAGCATGTACAACTCAAACGCATGCATTCGCTGATGAATTAAATCCTTTAAATCCATAACATATGTGCCAACAATCATCGTTCAGCAGTAAAATTAAATAAATGCAGATTACATTCGTTTAAAGCTTCATTAATATGTAATAACCGTTGATTCGTTTCTTGTCCGTTTGGAAACGTAGCGTACCGCCAGTTGGGGTGACATTGAGCTAAAAATGAAAAATGTTTGTTGTTTCAAATATCTTAAATCTACAGAAAATGAAATGACTAGAATTCAACATGGTGTAATGATGGTGTGTTTCTTCAACTCCTGGAGTAAACTGTAAATAACATTAAAGAGTTGTTATATTTAAAAAATGTTGTTAAGTTAAGTCATAAGTTCTAGAAAATAACGTTGTCAAAAATGTTCTTTATAAACATACTCAAATAAAACACTTTAATACGAATTACATTATGACAATATCCAAGTGTAATCCTAATAACTATCTTACATCCACATATTTGATGATATTTAATCCAAATGTATGTGTTTGGCCCAATGAAGAATAAGTTTTGGGCCATTATTTAGATAATTTTAAGTAAAATTAGGTTTCAATTTCAATCAACCAGTTATTGATAGATCATTGATGAATATATTCACATACCTAACAAGGTAGGGAACGAAAAACTATATTTTTTGGACCAAATGTCACCCCCACTGAGTGTTAAAAAAAATTATCCAGGAAGAGGAAACAAAATAACGGACAACGGACAATAACGGTAAAAAAATATTTTTTTTAGGGAATCGAGATTTCGTAGGGCCCTCAGATAGCCTGTCAGCAGAAGGAACGACACTTCTGGGATACATTCGTAGTAGCAGCTGTTGTTGTTTTCCACGAGATGTCAGATGGGGAAATACGAAACTAAAAGCAATATCTGTTAAATGACAATCGGTATGCCTTATAGACGGTGCACACTGGGGACATAATCGAAACAATGTGTTAAAATTCAATAACTTCGGTGCTCGCTGGAACAAGAGACTAAAAAATAGTAATTCTTATAGAAAAAAGTCTCAGAAATCGATTGGAGTGGGTTTCATTTTGGGCGATAAGGTCAATTGGGGTTGTTCACAGTTTTGCCCTAAAATCTCCTATTTTGCATGATTTGAATACTGTATCTCAAGATACCGATGATATAGACGGATGATTTCTTGGGCAAAGTTGACCAGGAGGTCAAGGACTGTTAGATGATGGACAGAACAATTCGGAATTCTTCCGCTAGGCGGCGCTAGTGAGCATTCGAAGTGAATATGTTTGCGCTGCTGTATCTCAAGATCCTGACTATTTAGACGGATGATTGCTTCGGCAATGTTGATCAGGAGGTCAAGGAACAATCCGGAATTCTCTCGCTAGATGGCGCTAGTGAGCATTTGAAATGAATATGTTTGTGCTACTGTATGCTCATGTATTCTTCTTTGTGTGTGTGTGTGTGTGTGTGTGTGTGTGTGTGTGTGTGTGTGTGTGTGAGAGTGTGTGTGTGTGTGTGTTTTTTTTTTTTTTTTTTTTTTTTTTTTTTTTTTTTTTTTTTTTTTTTTGGCAAGGAGGAAACCTTCAAAAAGGCCATCGTGCCACCGCTTGACGACTGGGCGCACAGTCGCGGTGACACGGTGTGTGGGATTCTTACCGCACTAAAACCTCCTTAGACGCCTTGCCCTTTTCCCCCGGAACCACTTGTCGTATTACTTCGGAGGGGGCCGTGCATTACGCACCTCACTTTACCTCAGCTAATTGGCGCTTCCAGTTCGCTGATCGTCTCTCCAATTTGTGAGCCATTTATCTCCCAGCGTCACGTTCTACTCGGTTATCCCTGGTGGTGGATACAGCCTACTCTGACGGAGAGTTCTCCCGGCTTCGGCTTTCAGTTCGCACTTGTGTGAGCACATTATTACTTTCTAGTTGGTCTTCCCGCCATTTTCGCTGCAGCGCTGACATGATCTGCGTTACTGCTCTGCTGACGGCGTTAAAGGTGCCCTCCTCTCGACACATTTCTTCGACGACATTTTCCGTGCTAAGGGCGAGCATATCCTCTCGCACATCATCAAATCTAGGACATTCGAAGACCACGTGCTCTGGTGATTCTTCCACATTCCCACACTCCGGACAGAAGGGTGACGTTGTGTGTCCGAACCGATGCAGGTACTTCCTGAAGCAGCCATGACCAGACAGGAACTGCGTCAAGTGGAAGTTGACTTCTCCATGCTTCCTGTTCACCCAGGTCGAAAGAGTCGGTATTAGCCTGTGTGTCCATCTACCGTTCTCTGCTGCATCCCACTCCTGCTGCCACTTAGCCATCGACTCCGTTCTCACCATTTTTCGTACTCCTCTGGTTTCTCTCGTCATATAGCACTCGTAGTCCTCCGCCAAGGTGATGCCGATTGGGATCATACCGGCGATAACGCATACTGCCTCCATCGAAATGGTTCTGTACGCACTCACGACTCGCATGGCCATGAGCCGCAACGTACTGCTCAATTTCCTTTGGTTCTGCTTGGTTTTCAGCGCTTCAATCCAGGCTGGACCTCCGTACCTTAGTATTGATGAGGAAACACTAGCCAGAAGACGTCTCTTGCTGCTGCTTGGACCAGAATTGTTCGGCATGATTCTGGCTATTGCGTTGATGACCTTCGTCGCCTTCTCGCAAGCATATTCGATGTGGCTATTAAAGTTTAGCCGGTCGTCGATCATCACTCCCAGATACTTAAGCATGCGCTTCGAAGCAATGGTGTGCTCTCCAACGGTAATTTCTGCCCGCTGCACTGCTTTGCAGTTACTGACCAACATCACTTCTGTTTTGTGGTGGGCTATCTGCAGCTTCGCTCCTTGCATCCAGTTACCAATCGTATCTATCGCCTCAGCCGCCAACATTTCCACTTCTTCCAGCGTCTCACCGGTTACCGTCAAGACGACATCGTCCGCAAAGCCAACGATCTCAACTCCTTTGGGCAGCTTGAGCGTCAGCACGCCATTGTACATTCCGTTCCACAGCGTGGGACCTAGAATGGAGCCTTGGGGAACCCCCGCCGTGATTCTAAGCGATTTCTGCCCCGTGTCTGTCACGTAGACAAGGACCCGGTTCTGGAAATAACTACTTAGAATCCTGCAGAGGTAGCCTGGAACCCTCATTCTATGGAGCGCCTTGGCGATGGCCTCCCAGCTGGCGCTATTGAATGCATTCTTGACATCGATCGTAATCACGGCGCAGTATCGATTTCCTCTCCGCTTCTGTTTGGAAGCTTTCTCGGCTCTGTCAATCACTGTCCGAATTGCATCCACCGTCGATCTCCCTTTCCGGAATCCAAACTGTCTCTCCGACAATCCGTGTTCACTCTCCGTGCATTTCGTCAGCCTGTTGAGGATGATCCTCTCTAAGAGCTTTCCTACAGTATCCAGCAAGCATATTGGCCTATACGATGCAGGATCCCCCGGCGGTTTTCCGGGCTTCGGCAACAGCACAAGCTTTTGTACCTTCCACCTATCAGGGAACTGACCATCGTCCAGACATTTCTGCAGCACCATCCTGAACATGTCCGGGAACGTCTGGATCGCCGCCTTCAACGCCACGTTGGGAATT